CCCACACACACACACTAGCAGGACTGCCAGAGCAGGCTGAAGACGACCTGGAGAGAGCTGTCCATCGGACTCCATCCAGCTTCCCCCCAGTCAGGGGCAGGCGCTCCTCTCCCCACCTCAGGAGGCACTTGGCATGGCTTCCCTACTGGAGCACTTGCTCCCCAGGCACCCCCAGGGACTCTGAGCCGCTGTCTGGTGAGAGATCCCCAGCGAGCGACTCCCCCAGCTCCTCTAAGAAACTGCGCCTAGAGCGGCCATCCCAGGCGCAGAGCCAAGCTCACGTAAAGGGGGTGTCTGCACCGGGAAACTGTCACCCACTAGCTCTGCTCCAGCAGGCGCGCTAAAAATAGCACCGTGGCTATCGCAGCAGGAGCAGTGTCTCAGGCTAGCCGCTGCCTCCGCGCCTGCCTGACTTCCTAGGTCTGTGCTTGGGTGGCTAGCCTGAGCCACCGCCTGTGCCACGTTGGCCCCCCGGCTAGTTTTAGGCACGGAGGCTTCTCAAGCAGCACTCGCACGAGTCGGTCCCCCCACTCCCACCCACCGTGCAGACTCTCGAGCAGGGTACAGGTACCTGGGGGTACACCATGCCCTTGCGAGGGGGTGGGGGGTACAGCAACTCATCTGCCTAGTTGCCCAGATTTACAACCGGCTGCATGACAAGCACTCGCGAAGTCCATACAGACTAACGGGCTTGTTCTCACTGCTCTGTGCTAGGTGTTTCTCAATCTGGAGGTTGCAACCCTACTTAGGGCCATAGATTTAGGGGGGTTACAAGTACAAGGCTGGTATTAGGGGTGACAAGCAGGGCAGTTGCCCAGTCACCAGGCCCCAGGGGCCCCAGGAAGCTAAGTGACAGGCTTCAGCTGTGGGTGGTGGAGCTGAACCCAAGGTCCACCCCCGCTGCCCAGAGTTGGGAGCAGACTCCTGGGACAAGGACAATATTCTGGAAAGGCTGCAAGCCACTGCCCGAAAGCACCCAGAGCCTGGGAGGGGTTTGTCCTGGGCACTTTCTGTGAGAAGCTACTCACCATCATCAGGGCCGTCTCCGCAGTGCTGGAGTGCAGAGTGATTTTCTCTGCGCTTCTCCCCTCCGCACTGCAATTTCACTTTTGCTTTCCTTTGGAGCCTAAGAACTTCTCTGCGGGGCAGAGTCTACCCGGCAGCACAGAGCAAATAAAGGAAATAGATTGTGCTTTTACTAATTTCACACACACACAAAAAGTGTCTCTGTCACATGGTGGTGATGACAAGGCAATTTGGAGCTTTCACATGAGTTAGCCTGTCAGAGTAAACCCCCAACCCTCTATAGCCTGTCCCCTGACCTGAACACTCCCCACCCATTAGCTCATAGGAATTCAGAACGCAACCTGCTCCACTAGTGCTTCCCTAGTGCATAGAACCCATTTCTAGACATGGGGAAATCACATGACTATAATGAAATCCTATGTTTAAATTTACTCTTAACAGTGTGTTAATCACAGTCACTGAAACCACTGTAAGGGTTTCAAAACCTAGGCGCTAACATATTTTTAAGATATCAGACCCCTGCTTCAGGGTATGGGCTACTGTGTTTTTCAACATCACTCAGGCACTGTCTTGCTTAGTTTTTAAAGGTGAGATATTGAACAGGATAGTTCCTGTATAATTCTGTAGCCAATTCTATAGTCAAGACCGAGCTGTTGTCCTTTAGCATACACTGCTCTTCTCGTTAAAACCACGAGAAGAGCAGGATTGGCTGGTCCAGGAAGGTAGGGAGCAGGATGGGGGGGCTGTCCCCACCATGGGATGCTAGCTCCAGCCTGGCCCCACGGCAGGAGGCCTGGCTGATTCAGAGGGATGAGGGAGGGATACAAGGCCAATCCCCTTTGGGGGCACTAGCTCTGAACTGGCAACAGGTTGGACAGACTGGCTGGTTTAGAAGCTGTGCAATCAGAGCAGGGTGGTGTTCCACTGGCAGGTAGGGTCGAGTCCTTCTGCTCACCCGCCTTGTGTGATCAAAGAAAGAGGTGCATTTGCACCTCGAGAGAGGGAAATGAAGAAACCGATTGACAGAGCCAGACAAGTACCCAGGAATCTGCTTCTTCAAGACAAGAAGCCCAACAAAGAAAATAACAGAACACCTACAGCCACCAGCTTAACCCCCTCTTAACACATCGTTGACAACCTACAACCTAGCCTGGAAAATGATCCATAGTTCTCACAGGCTTTGGGGGACAGGCCAATCCTCGCCTACAGACAACCTCCTACAATGCCTATAGGAACCCTGAGGATACTTGGCTAGGGCTTGGGCTCCTATGGATAGGGGTCTCCATCCTATAGTTAGGGGTAGGGTGCTAGGGTTGGGGTTCCTGTTAGTACTGCCCAAGCTTTCTTTTTCACTTAAGTAGACAAAGGAACCAGCATTTTGGGGCTTCTGGAGAAGAACACCTGGGGGTGTTGGCCATGATGCTGCTGGAAGAGTGGGGGGTGAGAAAAACCATCTTGACCAATGCTAGAGCAAGCTTTAGCTAGATGCATTTTATTGGCTTGTAGCTGTTTTTATCTTTATCTCTTATGCTTGGATTCACTGAAAAGCCTGTCTTCTTCTGTTAATAAACCTGTTGTACTGTTAATCTATCCCAGTTGATGTGGCAAGTTGTTGGTTTTTGTCTCTTTAAAGGAGAAAATGGATTGTATTATTCTTCTGGCTGTTGCAGGGGAGGGCTGGACATTTCAGAGCAGAGGGGTTTGGGAACATTTGGGACTGGGGTGTTTGTTGAGGTCACCTGCTAACATCAGCCAAGGCTGGAAAGGCAAGAGCATGTCTGGTGACTGCTGGCAGCTGTTGGATACAACGGGATTGAAAGCAAGCTATACAGGGAGTTCGGGCTGGGTATGTGTCCTGTGCAAGGAGCCACAAGTAGCAGCAGCTTTCTGTGGCATGCCAGAGTCTATTACAGGCAGTGACACAATTGCTCACTGGTCTGACTCATGCCCCAGCATCTGACACTTACTTACTCACCTTGATCAAGTCATTGCTTGATCTGCTTTTGGAGCTGGTAAACAGAGCAAGCTGCCCAGGTCTCTTCCGGACAGGTATTTTCTCAGTCCTCAAATCATTTCTTTGGCTCGTTTTTGCATCTGCTCCAATTTTTCAACATCCTTTTTAAAGGAAGCCCAACAGAGCAGAAGGCAGCATGGCAAGGTGGGTCTTACCAAGGCTATCTTCAGACATAAAACCAGCTCATTGCACCTACACCCTGGTTATGTACCCCAAGTACCAATATCCAACACAAATTGCATACCTACCATATCCACGGCTACGTCTACATGGCCTCTTATTTGCAGAAGAGGCAATGCAAATAAAGCGCTCATTAGCAATTTCTCGCACTTCATTTGCATAATCTCTTCCGACCCTTTTTTGCGCAAGAGGTTGTTGCGCAAAAACATGCAGTGTGGATGTTTCCTTTTTGCACAAGATCCGTATGCCTCTCTTTATGCCTCTCTGGGAGAGGGATAAGGATCTTGCACAAAAAAAGGGGGCTTGCACAACACAGACCCACAGATTTTTTGGCACAAAAATCTCTTCCGCAAAAAGCATTGGAAGAGAATATGCAAATGAAGCACGAGAAGATGCTAACGTGCGCTTCATTTGCATTGCCTCTTCTGCAAAAAAGAGGCAGTGTAGATGTAGCGCAAGTGTTATTTGGGGAAGTCAGTCACATCAGAAATACTGAATCCAGACACCTGAGCTAGTAAGAAAGTTACAGTCACTGGAGAGAGACATTTTTAGGGTTTCAATTACAGTACTGACCAGAGGGCCTGACCGTGCTAAGGGCCCATATCATGCTAAATGCTGTAAAGGCCCTGACCAAGGTCGGGGCTAATGTGCCAGGCATGCAGTGCTAGGGGTGGCTATCTAGGTCAGAAACTTTTCAGAGTAGGGGGTGGTTGCGAAGGTCTGAGGACTCTGTATATGCAGCATAAGACTCTGTTTGATAGGGGCATTCTCTGTGGATATTTGGCAGGATTCTTTACCGTCTTAGTTAGGCTGTAACCTTCCATCAGGCTGAATCCCTCACAGCTGGTGGTGAAGGAGCACCCTTGGCTTAAGTGCCCAAGCTTTGAAACCAAATCTCACTGAGCCAGCTGAACAGATTTATCAGGGCAAGGTTGCCTGGCAACAAAATCACCTGGGCCTAGGATCACCTGTGCAGGGTGAGGCAGGAGGAGGGAGTCACCTGACAGCCGGACCGGGCAGGTATAGGGAGGCTGATCAAGGGGTGGACTTTAGCCTTTTTTGCTAGCTCAAGCATGGAGATTCTGTAGCAGGGGTCTGAGGAGGTAGAGGAACCTGGTCCAGCTGAATGCAGGAAGGGTGAGCTTCTTGTTTGCTGTAGATTTTTGCATCTGGTTAAGTGAGGTGTGTAGTGTTGTGGGTTCCCTTGCACAGTATCTGTGTGTTTTGCTACACTCACCATGTGACCTGTGAGACTGCAGAACTGTAACCTGCAATGTGGGTGCTGGGAGAGGATGTGGTTATACTATGGGGGAGTCAGCTGATTCCAGGGGCTGGGCTGTAGGCTGGGTGATTATAGCCCTCAGCAGGTGCTATTAGATAGAGGGTCTGCACCAGGCAAGTGTGTATTGGGACCCCAAGACTGGGGCTGGGTATAATCTCTGGAGGCTTGAGATTTCTCTTCTTCCTTCTGCTCCCTGATTGGGGAGTTGGTGTTGGCATGCCAGCCCCCCCATCAATCTGATTGGCTGTAATTACAGCCAATAGGAACAGTTGGGAGCAGTGGGCAGCTACAGATGCATGTATGTCCTTGGGGAGCTGTGCCAGGTAAGTGCCCCTCTCATTACCCAGCCTTTGTACCCCCTCTTGGCCTCCTGCACCCTCCTCCTCACCCAGATTCCACACCCTAAGTCTGCTTCCTGGCAGCCCCCTCCCACATACTGAACCCCTCATTTTTGCTCCCACTGCAGGGCCTTGGAGGGTCCACAAAATCTGCTAGCCTGCCCCCTCCCAACTCTGGTGTGTGTGCAGAGTGCTTTTCTGCTTCTCTGTCCAAGGCTGTGTGAGTGAGGCATGTGTGCGTGCGTGGTCCCCCAACTGACTTTTCTGTGGGTCAGTGGCCCCTGACCCAAAAAAGGATCCCACCCCTGCTCCGAAGACTTAAACACCTTTGGATCCCCAGCAGTCTGGTGAGCAACCATGAGGGGTCACTCAGCTGCAGCTGTGCCACTGGAATAATGGGGCCTCCATCTCCATTGGAGTCTGGGCAGTGCCTGGAGCAGTGGGGCCAGAATCCTTACAGGGGCTTCTAGCTATCGGGGTACAATCTAAGGTTGCTAGGCACCTGGGACCCTGGTGCTCACCAGGTTGCTAAAAGTTGGGTTGGCCAAGTGTGGTGAGCTCTGCGTGGCTCCCAGAAGTAGCCAGCATGTCCTCGCAGCTCCATGGCACAGGGTGGCCAAGGAGGCTCTGCACACTGCCCCTGCCTGCAGTGCAGGTGTGGCCCAAGTAGGAATGTTAAAAAGCGCTTAATATGGTAATCATGTAGCTGCTGCAAAGCTTAGCTTTATACTTGCCTGCCCGGCTCTTGGGAAGGAGGCTTCATCACTGCCCTGCTGCAGCAAAGCTGCCTCCCCAGGAGCCAGCTCAGCCTAACAGATAAGCATCATCATGTCGGTTACCTGGCTAGTCAGTTAAACTCGAACGTCCCTAGTCCTAAGCGCTGGTTTTGCAGCTCCCATTGGCCCCTAGGAGCTGGAGGCACATACCGGCGACTTCCGGGAGCCACCTGAGGGAAGCGCTACCTGGAGCCTGCTCTCTTCATTCTGTCCCACACGCCAACCGCTGACCCCCTCCCCTTCCCATCTACCTCCTGGAGCTCTGCACCCCCTGTGGCCCCTCCTGCACCCCAGAGCCTGCCCTCCCACATCCCAATCCCCTGCCCCAGCCTGGTGAAGATGGGGGAGAGCCAGTAATGGAGGGAGGGGAGATGGAATGACCAGAGGCCAGGGCCTCAGAAAAGGGGCAGGGCAAGGGTGCTGGGTTTTCTGCCATCACAAGGTTGGCAGCCCTAGCAGCTAGCATTAATTCTAGAACGCCTGCTGATCTGGGGCTTTGCATGGCTGTGGGGGCACCAGGAGAGCTGCCTTGAGATGGCAAGGGGGGACCTTTTCAAAAGCACCTAAGTCCCAATGACTTTCAACAAGACTTTGGCTCATAATTCACTTAAGTGCTTTTGAACATGTGACCCTTGATTATTTAGAGGTGAGCTAGTCCAAAAGCCAGAGCTCCCCCACCTCCCCTCCAGGGCTCGGTCCCTGCACTGGACATGGGATTCTCACCACCTTCCTCCCACCAGCTCAGCCACTGCCATTGGACCTGGGAATCCCTCCCTTCACCTCAGGGCCTGGGACATGATGTAGGCTCACAAAGAAGTGGCCAAGATCTTCCCATACATCTGTAGCCAGCAGCTCCCACTTTGACCCAAAAGAACCAAGATCAACCCCTGGCAAGAGAGACCAGCCTTAGAGCCCCCGACCTCCCCACACAGTACCCCCAGGATGGCAAGACCCCAGCATAGGCTGGCTCCCCCCCTTTGATCGAAACCCCCACAGGCAGGCAGTGACCGTGGTGACTTTGTACTAATCTCCTGGTTTTATTATTGTGCTGGTGAGGGGGTGGGGAGGATGCTCACCCTGTAGAGGACAGAGCAACACATACAAAGCTCCTAGCGCACCCCCAAATCAGCTGCAAAGTCTCTTCTGCTTGGATCCAAAAAAACCCAAATCCCACTGATCCACTCAGTCTGTTACTGGTTCTGGCGTTTTCTTCTTTGGACTGCAACCCCAAGGAGGCCCAGGGCAGCCAGGCCGAGCCCAGCAACGCTCACCCCCACCAAGACATCCCGCACCTGTAAGACGAGAGAGGAAGAGAAGCAGGATGAGGGGACAGTCAGACACCCTGGCCTGTTACCAGTGCAGCAGGAGGCAATGGGGCCTAGGGGCTAGAGCACAGGACTGGGAGTAAGGATACCAGGCTTGTATTCCCAGCTCTATATATAGTGATTCACTCCCCCACCTGTACTCTGTGCCTCTGTTTTCCCCATCTGTAAAATGGGGTAGTCATACTGGCCTGCTTTGTAAAGCACATGGGGCTCTGCAAATGAGAAACCCCCTGGAAGAATGAGGGACGATAACTGCAGAGCAGCAGTGGGCTGCAGAGCCACCTGCACCAGTTAAATGTGGAAACACTCAGAGTGACTGGCCCAGGATGCTCAAGGAATCAGGGGCTGGGCTGAGCTGAGACTCCAAACAGCCTGACTCAGGACTCCCTGCTCTCACCACTAGAGCCCACTCCCCTCCCAAAGTTGGGAAGAGACCCAGGAGCCCTGCCAGGAAGACAAGGAGCCAGCCCCCGCACCTGGTCGCTCCTGGGCACGCCGTATCTCAGCTCCGTGACGAAGTGCTCGCAGTTCTCGCTGGTGACTTTGTAGGACATCTCCTGGCCCACCAGCTGCTCAGCGGCCCGCACAATCTTCCCCACTGGCAGTGGGGGGAACTTCCTGTCGTGCTTGTTGTTGAGCCGGTAGCGGTGCCTCCCCACCACATCCTGGAGATGCTCCTTCTTCACCAGGGCCTTGTTGGTCAGGGTGGCCATCAGGCTGGCAAAGGCTGCTCCAGGCACCTCACCTTGGGATGAGAGTCGCTGAGAATGGAAACGAATGGAACTCGGGGATGCCAACTCCCACCCCCACCTCTGACCACTAGACACCACTCCCCTCCCAGAGCTGGGGATAGAGCCTAGGAGTCCTGGCTCTGAGCTCCCTACCCTCATGCTCTTACCACTAGTCCACATTTCCCCTCAAAGCTGGGGACAAAGCACAAGTATCTTGACTCCCAGCCCCCCTCCTCTAACCATTCTCCTCCCACTGCCTGCAAATCTAATTCTGTCTCAAGTCTCCCTGCTCCACCATTCCTTGCAGCAGACATGCTAAAGGAGCAGAGGGGGTAGCACTTTGCTCTAGGCATTGGTGAAATCAGGCCTTACTAGGGGGGGCCAGGTGAACAACATAGCCGTCTCCCACGTAGATGGCCCAGTGCTGGTATCCGAAGCGGAAGATCTCAATCAAGTCCCCTGGTTCCAGCTCTGCCTGCAGGGGAGGGAATGGGGTGGGAGGTTACAGTCAGGCCCGGCACAGGTGCACAATGTAGAAGGACGTCCTGCGTGACTCGTTCAGGGGATCAGTCTCGACTCCAAGCATGATGGGTGTGAGGCTAGACTGTTGAAATGGTGACAAGATTGTGACAGAAGCTGAAGATGTGCCAATCAGTGCAAAAAGCAACACCATCAGATGTGCAGGCTGGGGGCAAAGAGAAGTCAGAACACAGGGAGCCCCACAAGAGGCTTCCTGACCCTTTAAAGGGATACCACCCCATTCCCACCCACTAACCTGCTTTCTCCAAAGCAGTGTGACCTAGTGGACAGAGCACAGGCTTCGGATCAGGAGACCTAAATTCTATTCCCAGTTTGGCTGCTGGCCTGTGGGGTGACCTGGTGTAAGTGGTGTCCCTGCTCTGCCTCAGTTTCCCAATTTATATTGTCGCTGATGGTATTGACCTCTTTTGTACTGCACTTTGCAAGCTCTGTGTAAGAGCCAGCTGATTTTAGATTATTACATCAGCCTGGGAGGTGGGAGGAGAAGAGAAGGGGAAATACTGAGCCCTATTTCCTTTCCCAACTTGCTGGATCAAAGTGTTCAAGCTGGAGTGTCTGAGGTTTACATCCATTAGAGCCAGGTGCCCCAACCAGGGCCTCCCAGCAGTGGGGGAGAGACACAATGGGCTAAAGTGCTGAGGTTGGAGGAATGCCAGAAGCTGAGGGGAGAAAAATGTACAAGTTCAGCAAAATGGAAGCCAGCAAGCCCTGGGCTGCAGGATACAGGGCAAAGCCATTCCACCTCAGCTCCAACTGCAGGGAGGGGGTGGGCCAAGTTGCGACTGATCTAACCTTTCCATTGCACATCTTTTCTGGGTTGGGCTTGGCTGCATTCCAGACTCAAGGAGCCGCTGGTCGCTTCCCAGGGGAGACTGGGTGCCCTAGTGGGTAATGAACTGGCTAAGACTCAAGACACCTGTGTCCTTGCCCCAGCTCTGCCATGAGCTGGTCTCTTTGTTTCCCCTGCTTTGGGGCAGAAGCGATCTCACTTGGGGCCTGTGCAGAACCTAAGCCTAGCCTCACACTGATCTCAGTCCTGAATGAAATCAGGACCTCAGTTGTCAGGCACTACACAGACATGCCCCCCCCCCCACTGTGCTCCAGGCCCCATTGTGTGCCAGGCAATGCACAGACATCAGGGTTTCACGGTGCTAGACCCTGATTTGAGGTGCAGGGAGGAGAGGGGAAAAGTATGGGAGGAAGTGGCAGAAAGACCCCTGCTGTCATTGATTTTGCAGGGTGGGCACCCAGACACTTAAATGGTGGGCAGCAGGGTAAAAGCCTAATTGTTTATGGCCTACTTAATTATGACTGATTAGGAGTACTGATTATTTCTGCTGTGGTAGCATCCAGGATCTCAGGCATAGATGCTGCCCAGACACACAGTAAGAGCATGGTGGGAGCTGCATGTGCTTGCTTGGTCCCCATCTGCCCCTACAATGCTCACAATGGAAGGGCATGTTTTCAAGGAGCTGTGGGTCTCTGTTTTAAGGCTTCTTTTCATCTCGTCGTCTCCAGGCCGGGTCTTGAAAGAAGACTGGGCAGAGCCACAGCTTGCTGCAGATGCACCTACAGGGACAGAGAGATGGGTGCTGAGGCTGGACTGCAGCCCACAGGTGTCATGAGCTGAGTGAGGGCTCAGCCTGCTTCCTAGTCATAACAGGTAAGTGCATCACAATAGAGTTACCATGGTAAGTCAGGGCTGAATGGGCCATGCAGCTTGCTCTACCTTATATCTCACTGCTGTAGAAGAAAACACCTAGGGAGAAGCTAAGGCCAGGAGAGAGCCCTAGGGGAAGATAAGGCCGGATTTGGGGAAGTCTGGTATTTGGTACACCTAGCACAGGCTTGGGGAATGTAAGGCCAGCGGGCTGGATCTGGCCCTGAGGCTCAGAGCTCCCCACCCCCCCAGCATTGGCCAACACTGGTGCTCCAGCCCCTCCCCGCCCCACTGCGGGGCACTGGATATTCCCTCTGGCCAGCCTGGATCCAGTCCCCAAGGCTCAGGGCTTTCCCCCCCTCCCCAGTATTGGGGAGCCTATGTTAGTGCTCCAGCCCCCCGTTATCCTCCTGATGGAGCTGGAGCACACAAATCTACTAATCTGGGCCCCCCAGGCTCTGGTGTGCGAGGGGAATGTGGGGAGTGTCTTTCTACTTCTCGGTTGGGGGCCACATCAGTGAGGGTTTTGTGGGTTTTTTGCTTCTCACTTGTGTGGACCCCAATAGGTTTTTTTTTCTGTGGGTCAGCAGCCTCCAACCCCCAAAAAAGCTCCCCCCCTGTCCTAGCAGCAGGGACAGGACAGTTCAGCCAGATCCCCAGCCATCCAAGCGAACTGCCCCTGGTAACACGAGCTGGGATGAAATTAACATAGAGGGGACCTGGAACTGTTCTCCTCCCCCTGCCATTTATCTGGTGGTCAGTTCATCCCTGATCCAAGGTGAGGCTGTATCCCATTGTATCACAAGTATTTCCATGGCAGGGGTGGGCAATAATTTTTGACTGGAGGGGGGCAAAAATTCAGGGTTGGGTGTTTTTTTAGAAGCCCTGGTCTGCGAAGGGGCAGGGCCTCAGGTAGAAGGGGCAGGACACTTCAGTGCTTCCTGACCCACAGACCCTGATTGGTATGAGGGTGGAGGAGCATGTAAAATCTTTGTGCCCCCCAGAGAACCACCAGCTGTTCTGAACAGCTGGCAGTTCCCTTTAGGTACCCATGCCTCTGGTGGCAGAAGGAGACTTCGCATGCTCCCCCCTGCTTCCCCCAGGTCAATTGGGGCCTGTGGAGGGGGAGCACACGAAGTCTCTGGCTCCCTGCTCCAGTCCTGCAAGGGAGTGCAGCACTTAGTCAACTGCCAGCTGATTGGCCTGGGGGCAGTGTGTGAATTCTCCTCCTCCCCTCCTTCTACCCTCTTCCCTCCTTTGCGCCCCCCCCCCCCCCTGTCCCCAGGCCCTGATTGGTATGGGGGTGGAGGAGCATGCAAAATCCTGCCTTCAGGGGGTCCCTGGGGATAGGGCAGTTGCTTGGGGAGCACAGTGGTGTGTTCGAGTCCTGGCTGCCCTGGGAACAGCTGGATAGCCAACACAGACTGCCCCAGGAATGGACCAGGCTCCTGCCTCAGGAAGGCACAATAAGGGACCCCCTGAAGGCAGGGTTCCCCCAAGAAACTCCCCCGATTGGTGGGGGGAAGCAGCAGAGCCCCCATGGGCTGAATCAATGTGCTTGGTGGGCCAGATCTGGTCCTTTTGCCCACCCTGTTCCATGGTCTGCATTGTACATACATGGTGGGTGCGTCTAGACTGGCAAGATTTTGCGCAAAAGCAACTGCTTTTGCGCAAAAACTTGCCAGCCATCTACACTGGCCGCTTGAATTTGCGCAAGAGCACTGACTCTGTAATGTACAAAATCAGTGCTTCTTGCGCAAATACTTTCATGCTCATGCTCTGGAAAAAGCCCTCCTGCGCAAGAGGGCCAGTGTAGACAGGGAAGAACTGGTTTGCGCAAAAAAAGCCCCGATAGCTAAAATGGTGAGTAGGGCTTTCTTTGTGCAAAATCGCGTCTAGATTGGCACGGATCTAGATGCGCTTTTGCAGAAATACTTTTAACGGAAAAGTTTTTCCCGTTAAAAGTATTTCCGCAAAATCATGCCAGTCTAAACGCAGCTGGTCTGATTGTCAGCTATGGAGCAGGATTGGGGGCACACAGATGAGGTTTTAAATCTGCTCTGCACTTCCCATAGTTTTACACTAGGAAGGGGGGGTGTACAGCAGCCTAGAGGGTACTGTAATTTACACCTGGCTTCCTAGAGCATGAAGAATCACCACATCTTCGATCCAGTGTCTATGCCAGCGGGGGCAGATGGGCCTGTCAAGAATTCAGACAGCAGTTGCATGCTAACCAAGGGAGAGTTTCTTGGGGGTTCCAATTGTGCTTCTCCCATTTATGCTTCCAGAATGGATAATGGGAGCTGTCTAAGCCCTCACTGTGCAGTTTTGAGCCCCTGGGGAGAATCTTGGCTGTTTTTTTCCCCCCCAAACACCCTTCCTTCCCCACCCAGTCACATGAGGGTGTGATGCATGTCCAGCTACACTGCACAAGCAAGGGACTGTGGAATCACGCTACAGCCAGACACCACTGCCTCTTCACATCTCCCATTGCTACTTACCCAGTGGTGTCAACGTGAGACACATCCCAGGCAGTGCTTCATGCTCGCTTTGCCGCAGCGTGTGGGGGGGTCTGGAAGGAATCGGTTTTTCTATTGGCTCCATGACTCCAGATGCTTCCTTTGCCTGGTGTGAAAGAGAACAGTGGTTCTAATAAACAACTGCCAGGCACTAGCTTGGCTCTGGTGTTACCATGCAGCAAGGCACCTATTTCCAGGGTGCAGCCAGTGGCCCCCGCTTGGCTCTAGTAAGGAGTGTGAGAGCCCAGCTGGAGAACCTATTGCAGGAGAGGGAAATGATCTTTTCCCTGGGCAGCCAGTTCACAAATGGGTCAGGAGCTTGGGTGGGGAGCCTAGAAGAAGCAGATCCTGGAGGATAGGGCACTAGGAGCCACTGGGGCTTGGATCCTTGGGGGGGGGGGG